TTTATTTAGACAGAATTCGAGGCACTCCGTTTCGAATTCTTTCCAACACAGATCTCTGTCAATTGTCCAATCCTCCGTGTTTACCTTATAATTGACAAACACATTGTCCAGATCGAAGTTACTGCGAATCATAGAGATTTCACCAGGATTCGTTTTTTTTTTCTGTCGCGATTGCAAACACGGGGACACGATTTGAAAGCGAAAAGAACGATTAATGCCGCGCGAAAGGTAAATGGACGGTGAAGGGTTAGCGTGCGTGTGTGTGTGCAGTGGACACGGTTGGCCGTTACGATCAGCTATCCGAAATAATGCATAGAACGTAGAGTGCACGTAACGGAATAACAATTTCCTACTGCATTAATTAGAGGTCGACGAGGCGTGAAATCGAGGTTTACGAAGCGTCAACTAGTTTTACACATCGCGACGGAATAATAACGTCGCGACACGACTAGAATCCCGAATACATTACCTACGCCAGCGCGACCGCGACCTCTGCTGCTTCGTTGAAAACCAACCGATAGGGGTGGAGAGAGAGAGAGAGAGTGGGTATAGAGGGGTGGTATAGCTGTAATGATTAACGACGAAGCGTTAATGCCCGAAATTCGATCGCCACCGAGTGCAATTATTGCGTACGTCGACGACCCGACGTTTCACGTGACGCCCGAAGAAGAAGCGGAGGAAACAAGTCGTTCGTGGTGAAAACTCTTAGAGATCCGCGTGAACCAGGCACGATACAACCGAACAGAAGTAGCAGAGAAAACGAAAAGAAAAAAGAAAAAAGTCGAACGGTAAACGGTTACTTCGGGAACGGTGTAATTTTAATTCGGCGTAAAGTCGAACGTCCGTTCGCGAAATTGCGGTGTTTAATTGCGATCAACCGTGTAATGACCGGCGGCGGTCAATTAACACTTCCAAGACCAACGAGCATGGCAACGTTGGTGTGTGCGCGCGCGCGACACAACGCGCGAAACGGCTCATCTGGTGTGTGTGGAACGTGGGTACACGCGTGTGCACGTAACACGCGAAGTAGACGCCTGGAATTGGCGTTTTTGTTTCCCGATATCAATTTCGAAGCGACGATGAGGGGCTTTTAATTGGGACCGGCGATACTGGTCGGCGGTGGCGACGTTGCTGATGGCGACCGAATCGTCCATCGACAGTAATGGAACGCGATAAATGCAAGTAAATCTCGATGCGTGGAAATTCGTTATCTTTTTTACCCTCTTTTTTTTTTTTGGTTTTTTTCTGTTTTTTTGGGTTGAATGCAACCTATCCGAAAATTAACCCTCGAGTGGAGAGAGAGAGAGAGAGTGGGGACAGTGAATGATGGATTTCTCGCGATTTCGAATCAAGTTCAACGACCTGTGTTCCCTATGTACGTATATTGTTATTGTTGAGGATCGTGAATGAGGTGGAAGGTGAGGTTCGAAAGTGTATCTCTCGCGAAGTAGTAACCGAAGGTTAAATATTTGTCGTTGCCGAGAAGATGTCAATCTTCGTAAATAGCCATTTCCTATTCAAGTGTGTAATGCAATTTTCTACTTGGCTCAATTACGTATTCTCTTCTAACCCTCGTATTTCGTTTAACCTTGTATATTATGACATTTGAAATCCGTTCGAACGTAAAATCGACGACACTTCTCGAGAGAAGGAGAGAGAGTGAGAGAGAGAGGGAGAACTGTTTGGTCGACGGGAGCCGACCGCTGTCAATCGAGAAAATTGCGGATATGGCGCTCTCCCGCTGCGACGGCAAATCGTCATTTCCTACTGCGAATATAACGTTACGCCGCGCCGGCTAGGAACGGGGTACCAATATTTGAAAGTTCACTGTAATTTGTTTATCCGGAGCCAGTGAGACTAACGCGCGCTCCGGAGTTTGCGTTCCACTTGGGCTGCCAGTATCCGCTGCGTCGGAAGAACAATCATTACCGGCCACAGTAACTCGTCTAAGTGCAGCGTGCCGACAAACTAAATAGATGTCATCGTCGTTTCCCGCTTCGTTTCTCGACCGTGCTTCTTTTCCCCCGTTCTCGTCACGCTCTATGAAACGCATGTTTCATGACCACACCATCGCGATAATCGCGGTGTTAAAAAGCACTCGTTCGCCGTGTGATTTGCATTATTAACGCACGTCGATGTCCGAGAGAGAAAAAGAAAAAAACGGTACGAACGTTTTGTACTTCGCGCGATCGTTTCGGTAGCTCTTTCGAAATTTATACGGTGAATTTTCCAATTGCACAGTTATCGCGTAAAAGCGGGAAAAGTTCGGTTACGTGGGATTTGAAAGAAATACCTTTGTCATTCTTGAGGTTAAGATTGGTTCCCGCGACGATACAGTAGCTCCCCGTTACTGGCTTCCTAATCGACGATTCTCCAAGTGGTTATATTTCACTGCACACATTCTATTACCAAGTTACAATTTGATCGATCGCGAGGAAGTGAATACCGTCTGACCCGTACACCGGGAAACGTGAACTCCACCTCGATTTGAATTTCACGTAGAAAAATGACATCGACCTTTGTCCATCTAGCGACCGAACGGCAAACTAGTGAATCAACATTCGAGCGGTAACTGCACTGGAAGTGACTTTATCTTTGAATCCTGCTTCGTCATTTCCGCCGCTTATCGCTTAGGTAAACTGTTCGTGTTCGAAATTTATAGCATGAATAAAGAAAACGTTATTACCGTGTCTGTTAACCAAAGTTAAACACTATTAGAAAATCAAATTGGAAAAACGTTGGAAAAAGCAGCGCGTAAAAGGTATCAATCATCGGGATACGCGTTTCACGTGGCGATTTTCATGATAAACGATTGAACGTCCGAGATAAATTGGTTAAAATTAAACTCCGGCAGAAACTAACAAAGGAGAAGGGCGGATAGAGAAAGGGTGACGAGAATGATGGTAGGAATGGGGATGGAACGTAGAATGGGGAATGGGCAAACAGAGCGCAATTAACGTGCGACCATTAAATATGTACGCGAGTTACTGCGCCACGATACGTGTGTGCAGGCCAGCGCAAATGCATTGGCTATCGAACGCTCGCACGGCACTACCGATCTCTTCTTGCATCCTGTTGGCACAGCCGCTTGATTAGCTCCACCATATTTACATATCATTAGCCGAGTGTTTGTCCAAGTCGGGAGTTCCCCTTCTGCATCACCGTTGTCCGTCAATATACGAAATAAAAGTTATTACGCCGCTGAAAATATCGCGTCGACAAAACTCACTCGCATAAGAGAGGTTATTTTCGTGGACTAATTTGCCACCGTACACGAGATACCAAGCGTTCGTGATTCATCCGTAAACGTGGTTATTTCGAAAAATATAATCCACCAGAAATAAGTGTTTATACGCTAGAATTTATTATGTTTCAGTTTCACTTTATTCATAAAAATACGAATTTCGATCTTAATCTCGTTGCCTACATTGCATAACAATTTCTTTTTTTTTTGTCGATTTATACACTACTTAAATGTATTGGACAAGCTGACGGTAATTACCGCAAGAGGAAAAAAACGAAAACGGAATAAATAGATTAACGAACTCGATTCTGCTTAATTAACGCCCAATTCCACTATCGGGCAAATTATCTCGACGATAAGTTCGATAACTTCGTGATTAGTTCACCGCTATGTAAATCGTAATATTCGGCACAATTTAATTGATGAAAGACATCCGCCTATGCCTGCGAATCGAAATGTAGTGAATACTGCTACATCAATTTATCGAAGGAAATGCTTACGAATATAATTACGCTAAAAAGGATAATAACGTTTCCTTTTCTTCGAAGCATTTACCTCGATGTAAAATATTAAAAAAAAAAAAAAACTAAAAAAAAAAGAACGAAAAAGAAACGGTTCTCTCCCTTCCTCCCTCTTCCTCTCTCCCCCTTTCTCTCTTGCATTTCGTTCGTAAGAAGCTCTACCTGAATTGTAAAATTAGATAGCATGTTGCATTAATAACGTTTTTATCTACTTCTTAACGTACACGCAACCTTAACGTCTAGGTTTTCGATTACGGTAACGCATTTTGATTATCTTTTTCTTCCTCTTCGTCCTTAATTTCAATATGGCGACGTCCAAATCAGTCTATTGAGTCGTACACATTCCTCGAGCTTATCCGTAAGAAATTATTGTAAAAAGTATCGTTTTTAAATTACTATTAAGGCAGTATGGTAATATGACTCGACTTACGTACGCAGGCTTCCCTCTCAAAAGCCATTCTAGTCTTCACAGATCGCCCAGTATCTATCGGATATGTGCGTGTTTTCCTAACTCGCCAGGATTGGAAATATCAACGAAACGATGTTTAAAAGTTCTTTAAAACTCAGCAAAACGTTCACATAAATATAATTTTACTATGCATATTAATTCGTAGCTTTTCATCAAACATTCTCCGTCTAACATTCGAACTCCATAAATTTCACATGAAACTGCGTTATTGTGAATTGAAAAAAAATTCAAACTTGGTCCTCGCACTTCGTTAACTATCAGGAAAAGATCAAGGAAAAGTCTAATGAACAACAATCAATAAATAAACGAATAGGTAACAGAGTTAATAGAATAGTAATCGTGAGGCAATTGTTGTATCTCTATAAAGTGAAACGAGATGGTAATTGATTTACCATCGTTATCGTACGCTATAGCCGGCATAGTGATACACGAACGATTGCAATGTTTCTCGAGGCAGTAGAGAAAGTAGGAACTGCCTAAGAAGCTCAGTAACGATTGTGAGTA